TACGCAGATTATTTACTTGAATCTATAGGCAATCATCCGTTTTTCGGACAAACCTATTAATCACTGATTCAAAGTATTTTCGATTTCTTTTTTTTTTTTTTTTTTTTTTTTTTTTTTTGATTAGATGGGTTGGATTGGATTGGATTCCGACGGTTCTTTCTATACACTGCATGCAGTGAGATATTTGATTAAAAAAAAAAAAATTATGGCATAATAATATTATTATTATGAGTATTAATAAGTGAAAAGTAAGTAGTGTTTGGTTGACGGATCACGTAATCATTCTCCGGGGATGCGTCAACCATTTTCGCGCATACCATCGCTTTTGCTTTTGGCAAAAACTAATTGGCCTTCATAATGATTTCTGGTTGGATGGTGGTCACAAAAGTGTCCGCAGCATCGTCGTTAGTACCAACGCATTATTAGCATCAAGCATTGTCCGACATAATAATTGGGTGGTCGTGCATGTCTCACATTAGACCTTTATTTCGGGCAAGGACTTTTATTCAACGAATGAGAAACCGGGAAAAAATAAAAATAGAATCATCGGCTATACAAGAGAGAAACCATTGCCCGGATTAGAAAACAACGATTATTTATTCATAGATGCCAATCACGAATAGATGTCGATACTATAATTAGATAGAATATTTGTTTGACAAGCGAGATGCATGTTAGCACAGCCTTACCGCAGATCATCGCTCGCTGATTGTTTGAGGGAAATCTGTTTTTTTTTTTTTGTTTGGGCGATTGCTATGATTACTATGAATGAAATCTCTTTCTGCCATAACTTCGATCAAAAATCCGTCGTTCCGAATTAAATTATCCGATTTGCGTTTGACAATCTGGTTGAGATTCATACGAAAAAGAATAAAATAAGAAGTAGATGTGAAAAGCATAGTCGGTCAAACGCGACGATGAACAATAACTTGTCGGCCACGGGGAGCTCTTCCCTTTAACAGGTAAGCTCGCTGGAGATTTGGATGACGGCCGGCTGGTCGGGGTTTTTTTTTTTTTTTTTTTTTTTTTTTTTTTTTTTTTTTTTTTTAAAAAAAAAAAAAAAAAAAAAAAATTCCCGATTGTGTAAGCTTCGTCATGTGACAGACCAAACAAACATTCCAATCTTGAAACCGCCAAAAAAATTAGGTTCACGAATGAGGGGTGAAAAATTTGTGGAGAAAACATTTAATATATCACGGCGGTTATACGGGTTCATTCTATTAAGGTGTCCATGTGACCTTTCCTTACGGATTGAGGATCAATGAGTAAAAGTGGGGACATGATTATTAAGTTTTTGATCAAGTTGCTTTTAATCAAACGCTCGTTGTTATTATTACTGTAAGTAAATACTGTATTACAAGCAGTTGAACCATGCACCGCGTGTGTGCACAGTACGTAATATTAAGGGGAGTCCGTGTCAAAAAAAATACAGCGCACTGTACACATGTAATTCATAATTTTTTTAGTAATCAGGGGGGAATTAGACTTAGTAATCAGGGAGCTATGGTGTTATTGTTGTTAAGGTTGATGCGGTCATGACGAAGAGGTTAATTGCGTGCGTGCGTGCGTTCGTGACCGATTCTTCGAAACCTATTGCACGATGCAAATGTCTCCTCTCCAAAATGTCAAACGACAGTTTCGTAGCGATCGGATAAATAAAAATGCACGTGTGGTGATAATAATAACCTGAAGGACCGAAACAGATATACCCCCTCATCGGCGGTTTCCAAAAAGAACGAGGTTGCTTCGGCCGTCTCTAGGTAAATTGAGTTATCATATGTGCGACACAGGGATAATAGTAAAACTTAAAGTGAGCCGACTATTGTGATTGGTGATTGCCATTTATTGGGAGTGAATGATCGTTTTCGCACCAATGTCAAGATTAATTGTGTATGTGAATGCGATGCCACGCTCTGCATCCAGAGAATCGCTTAAACCGTTTGGGCATCAATGCTTGCATCTGGATGGGCGGTTCTAAATTTGTTTTAAGAATGAATTTATTTTCTTTCGAGTTTCAGGCTAATGGGTTACGGCAGATTATTCTTCTCATAATTAATTTAATTCAAATCTCTTTTCTTCTCAAACTGCAACCTACCAATTCCCCCTTTGTTCAAATTTGCCGTGAGATGCTTCTCTTTCGGTCTGGAACACACACGAACTTCCATTTCTAGACGTCAACCAACCCATAAAAGCAGGTGATCTGCGGGCGGGCGTTCGAAAGCATTGTTCGAGGCTCGCACGATATTTTGCCGGGTCGCTCGTATGTACACGCACGCACGTAAGTACAAGGAGTAGGATAAAGTTGATGGCTGTAATGGACGGTTGATGCAAGGTAATGTATACGAGCGTTACACGCGATGCAGAGAAATTTTGTCAGACGACAAGGAAAGATGAATGAATGATTATGCGAATGAGATTGTTGCTTGAGACAGATATTCTGGTAAGAATGTGGACACGCTATCTTTGTTTCTCTCATTTGAACGGAGAGAGGGAAACATCAACTTCCTCATCTGAAATCAGGAATGACAAATGTGCACGCCAAGAAAGGACGATAAAGGGGATGACGGATGACACAAGAGAAATTTGCATCAGAAAATCTGGCATACAGAACATCATCACATAACAACTTATTGTCATTATCGGAATTATTGGGGGAGAAAAGATTGTTGCAATTATGCACAAGCATGCATAGTATAGTATGTGCATACATGATTTTTATTTTTTATGATAACGACATTGTGGTCAACGTGCTTTTTTTTGAACGCCAACAAACACAGTTTATTTATTATTCTGCGAACAAGAAATTTTTTTTTGCGTGCGAATCGAAGTGCAACATTCCATTCGCCTCTATTGATTCGGCGGTCTCGACCAGCCATGAGATAGATGATGGGTGGATGGTCGACATGCGGTGGATGGCATCCCAATGTTATTTACAGTAATAACAATCTCGTCCTAAGATGAGCAAGCATTTCAGGAGAATCGCCCGTCAAGATGATTAACAATAATGCGTTTTTGAAGAATTTATGCAATGGTAACCGAGACGTATCACATCACACACGGTTTTTCTCGCTGCCCTGAAAAAAAAAACACCCAATGACAGTCCGCTCGCATAAAACCTAACCTTATTATTCTGTACATCGACGATATCTGGGAGGTGCATGAGCACATAAGTAGCTAGAGCGTGCGACTGTAATTGCACAGTAATTTATGCCGCTCATCGTTTCCTCGCGAGGTATACTGGGATGGAATACAATTGTGAACTGTTGTAACGAACAAGAATTCCGGCTAACTAATTACAACTGATTCAATGAAATAGTAACCAATTAACGAGAATTCCTCTAAAATAAATATTGTCTTTCTTGTGATGATGAGCGGAGACGATAATAATAATAATGATAATAATAATAATAATAACGACCGATTGTCCACTCTGCCGCTTGATTAATTATTTCACAACCTCATTTGGAAATTTTTTTCATTTGCTTCTTTCTCATCACCCGATATACCCTCCAACCATTTTGTCGATCCCATGAAAGTGATTTTTCTGTCAACGACGAAGTGTAATGTTACATGATTGTGAGTGTTTATATAAATTTTCGTCATTGTTATAAGCAGGTGTAACGAAATAGAATCAGTGTAATTTATTTTTAGGCATCAAAAAAAATTTTTTTTCTTTTTTTTATGCCTTTGCATTTGGGAAATAAATGAATCCCTTATATGGGAATTTGTAAAGGCGATAACATTTAGTGTAAAATTGTGGTGATGTTAAGGAAAAATGAGGTGGAATCTCTGGCGCGTCAACCCCAAAAGTGATATCATTCCAATTTTCTTGTTGGTTCACGTCATGCATTAAGTACTGTACATCCATCCCCCCAAGATGAATGTCGAACATCATTCGACACCTGTTACGCCACACGAATTCATGATGACGAGAGATGTGCATTCAATTACAATTAGCGAAACGGAAAATTTTTGGTGAAATTACATAATAGGATTCTCACCTTGGATGCCATTAACACTTTGATGATGATGATGATGATGATGATGATGACGATGATTATGATGACGATGATTATGATTATGATGATGATTATGATGAAAAAAAAAAGGTTTTTCCAGAGTGGCACCCGCGTCATCCTCTCACAATATTCTTGCAAAAGGGAGAGATCGCGCACGCCGCCAACCGCTCTGCTCTCCCGAAAGGTCACATGACAACACCGGGGCTTCTCTACGAAGGGCCCGTCACGTACAACGGCATGACTCTGCAAGACCAGGATGGGTTAGCGCGACCTTGACGGCCTTATCTCAAATCTTTCTCTCATAGACGCACGGCATGCATCGGGATCAAGCATGCATGTGACATCATTGTCGTCACCGTGGAGTCATTGCCGATGAACCGGGAGAGGAAATTAAGTTGGAGAGCGCGAGAGACGCTCTTTATTGTTTGCCGATGGCGCGAAATGAACGGAATTTAGTCAATGACATCATGCCAACTTCGCCCACGCGACACTTCCCATCTCACGGTGACAAGATTTCGGGTGGAACATGTGACCTACCTCGAAACTGTGCGGAACCACCACCGTCTGTCGGCGTGCGCACAAGAAAAGAAATTTAATTTAATTCCTAATTAAACGCTCAATCGCCGTTTCCTTTGGCATCAAAATATTTACACAGAGACTCCCGTTTGATTTGTTTGGTGAATTCTTTTTAGCCAATATACTGTGTACACGCAACATGCAAATCTTGTTGTTGTTCCTCCGAAATCAAGGTCATCATCACGTAACAGACGTAAATAATGAAGATGATGCGCATATACGTGATGGTGATGATGATGGCTGCATGATACACGAGTGTGCGCGAAGAAGAATTACAAGTTTTTTTTTTTTTGCACACATTAACATCCGAATTTACCATTCTTTTGTACACAAGAAATGATAAAGCGATAACGACAACACCATGACATACAGTAAACAAACCAACCAACCATCCATCGTTCACATTCAAAAGTAATGGATAACAGAAGAGACATTATCGTCATCATCATTAATGCGAAATTGAATAAGGTTAAATGAATTGAAGTTTGATCCATGCGATAGGAGGCAATTCATTATTTCTTTTGTCGTCCGGTTTAACCGTTCGGCACACGCACCACAAGGCGTGCGTGAAAATTTGAGTTCTGGTTGCGCTTGCCCGTCACGTTTGTGTGAGCGTCGGATACTCACCCGATTGCCCATTGAATGACTCAAGTGTTAAATCATTAAAGATATCAATTTTCACAATCATCGCCGTTAATTGCTTTAACTGTTGCGAGCCATTTCTATTTTTGCGCACGCCCAGGAGACGAATCACAATCGTCGATGACATGTTGCTCGATAATATAAACGTACACACGGCGTATTATTATTTTATATGTACTGTACAGTACGTATAATTTTTTCTATTTTATTTCGCATTTTATATTTTACTTTATATCTTATATTTTCTATATCGTTTTTTTTTTTTTTTTTTTTAATGCAATTTTTCCAATAGTATGATCTTTGTTATAGCTAATAATAAATACCTTTACACCGGGTTTTTTTTTATTGTGCGCGTGTTTTCCAACAACGCCTCAACCATCATTTTATTAGTGTCACTCTTCTCTCCGGTCCTTCCTCTCGTTGTGCGATCTGAACTTTGCTTTCATGCCCTATTTAATACGCGATATGCACGATGTGATTTCTACGAGAAGATTTGCATTATACTATAACATGTAGAATGCACAGTACAAATACATACGTGCGTACTGAATTTTGCTTTAACTTAATAAAAGTGTAACATTTGACTTTTTTTATACATATGCGACAAGATTGAATCGCTAAACAATTTGTATAAATAGGTGCATCCTGGCACCAACCGTCTTCCTCTTTATTGCCAACAGCAAGAATTTCCTCTACCATAAATCACTTGCATTAATAAACAACAATCCATCCCTTAATCAAACAAAAAAAAAAAAAAAACGCTGAGTAAAAAAAAAAAAAAAGTTTTCATTGTCGGTATCACCACCTCGCCTATATTACAAAGCTCAGACGTCATCGCCGCCACCACCACTCTTCTAAAAATAACTGCGACAGCATTTGCTTGCGTTGTTCAGGTATTAATTAATTCATCGTTACTAGAAAATAAAGCAAATAAATAAATAATATAATATAATATATAATATAATAATAAGAATAATAGTAATAATAGAAAAAAAAAAAATCTTTCAATAAAAACCCTCTTTCTTCGTCCGTCTGACATTCCCCCCCATCATCTTGGACATCTTAAAATTTTTGACATTGAATATCTCTTCTTTCTCTCTTTCACACACACACACACACTCTCTCTCACTCTATATCATTCACAGCAATCAGTTTTATTCCTCGACATCCTCAAGTGATTTTCCGTACACCAAGCGTGACCCCGAATAAATTTAAGCAATAAGGAATACCGCTAGACAGTTATCCTTTACTTACTTTCCTTCGCCTTCCTCTTCTTAAAAAACACCGTGACCCCATCAACTGATTGATAGACTTGTAAATTATTTTGTTGACCCGTTTTGTCGGTCGATACATATTTGCACTCTATTTCTTTTTCCCTCACCACCATTCGCCCTTTAATTAAAAATCCTCATATATATATAATAATAATAAAAAAACCGGACAGTACGTAGTAAAATTAAATAATTTTATAACATTAATTAATAGCATCAACAAATACTTCGAGAACAGCTGATAACCGTTCTAACAGAGTTTAAAATAGCACCGAATCATAAGTATTAGCATTTCGGCGGGACAACATAGTAAATCGCTTTATTGCAAAAAAAGAAGTTCATCGGTTCATTATTTCTGTTGTATATAAAAAAAAATTTTTTTTTTTTTTTTTTTTTTTTTTTTTTTTTTTTTTTTTGTGAATAGTATATATATAATTTGCCATATTCCACCCCCTCCCCTTTCCCCGCAAAATTTAAAACCAAATTTCTTTTTCTTTTTTTTTCTTTTCTCTTTACCCCACACTTATACATTTCAATACATCCCTTTTTCACATTCAATAAACATTACACATCAATAACCTTTCATCCATACATTTTTAATATACAATCTTCATCTCTCTTTCATCATCGTTCCTTTTCTTCCCAACTCGAAAGAGACAAATCTTTTCCTCGGACACGCACCTATAAATACCCACTTACTTCCCCCCCCCCCACCTACCCTCCAAACAAGAAAGGTATCGACTTGCAACACCTTGACAGACAAACGAAATCACCGGACACAATAGTTCGAATCGACTTTTTTTTTTTCTTTTTTTTTTTTTTTTTACACGCATAAAAATGCAATTCGCCCCAGAGGAGTCAAAGTCAGGTTGGCTAACGAAACTCGGTGGCAACGCTCTGAGAAAGACTTGGAAACGTCGTTGGTTCGAGTTGAGAGGTAACCTACTACGCTATTATAGACAACAGGTGCGTATCCGTTTGTTCACAGTCCACCTCTTTCGTTTGCGAGTGGCGGCGTGAAGGCGACACGACAACTGATATCTTGTTTTTTTTTTTTTCTCCTTCGCAATAATAATAATTTAGTCCGACAAAGAACCTTCCGGTGTCATCAACCTCGCCTCTTACAATTCAATATGCCAGGACTCTTCGGCGACGAAGAAGTCACCGAACTGCATACGAATCGAAAAGGTCGCACGCGAATCGGATTCCATTCGCTCAACCGCAAGTTATCGTGAATCCTCGTTGAAGAAACAACCCGCGTTTCTGGCATTCGCCGACACCGAGGCAGAAATGCAAGAGTGGATAATCGCGCTGGAGAAACATCTGGGTGGAAGGAATATCGCCGACATCGTTCTCGACAGGTTAGACCTGAGTGGAAACATTGGGGTGCATCGTAGACAAGCTAGCTACGGTTCATTGAGCTCTTTCTATTCAAAGAATAGTAACGTCTGTTCAACGTCAGATTCTGCCCTGTCTTCAAGACGACCGTCGTTAGATTCACTCAGCTTGGGGACACCTTCCTTGGATTCAAGGAAAAGTTCGATCGACTCATTTCACTGCAACCCCACACCACCAAATGGTGGCAACAACGGTGGCATCATTGCAACGCGCAACTTCTCCCAGCCGCCGTCTCGTCCCGAGACGCCGTCAAATTTGGTGGCACTGTTCGGACTGGGTCAACCAATCTTGCGTAAGCCAGCCTCCTCATCGGTTTTGCACGACCGACGGGGGAATGCCGATGATGTTGACGGAAACGTCGCCCAGCCAACTTCACAACAACAAGGTCACGTTCGCAAATTATCGCTGAACATTAGCAAGGATCGGTCGGCGGCCCCACTGATCATGGTGAACGGAGAGAATTCAAGATTCTCCGCATCACCTGACGCCGTTCACTTTCCCACTCACAATGGAATCAGAACGTCGACCAGCAGTGGAAGCATGCATAGCGCGTTCAACAATTCGCACAGTCCCTTCAACAGCTCATTCACGAGTAGCGCGTTGAATGGTACCAAAAAGAAGGATAGTAATAATAGCATTAGCATCAGTAGTAGCGCCTCATCGACTCCGTTGATGAACGCGGTGACACCCAAGTCGCCCGTGACACCTTTGGCCAATGTCTTCCCGAGTCACCTGTCTTAAAAAGCTAAATCTATTTTTATGGAAGGGGAGCGGATTCGATTTTTGATGGACAATTACCAAAAAAAAAAAAAAAAAATCACGACAACCTTCACCAATCATCCCATTTTCGCATTAAGCAAATCATAATATAGACAAAATTACCTACGCATCGTATCTTATGTTGTCTTAAAGTGCAATCTTAATTTGACTAATCTCTAATTTACACAAAAAGTATTATTAAATAAGGTGTGTCTATAGATGAATGAGTAAACATGTTACATAATTGAATGGACAAAGGTGTTTTTGGGATATAGTGCGTGCATGAAATCATCTAATATGAACAACAAATAAAAATAAATGAAACCCTTGTGTACGCTGTGTTCCAAATAACAGGTGTTTGATTTCTCTACCGAGTTCATTAAAATCATACGACACGATTGCAAGTTATTGCGTAAAACCAAACGAATTTCGAAAAAAAAAAAAGCACTTGTTTCATCGATTGTGCCGAAACACGCCACTATTTGCTTCGACAAATTTCATGATTGCGTCTTGTTTCGGTTTACTTGTGATTGATGTTTAAAGTGCATACAGCATGCACGTACAATATAGCGTATTGAATCTTTCATTTTGACAAATAAAGATCCTTATTTTTACGATTGATAGACACGATTAAAAAAAGTATAGTTTTTTTTTATTGATATCACACTAACAATGAATGATTCATTTTCTAAAATTCATTTGTTTAAAAAATTGTTGAGCGCACTAATCTTTAAACGTTTTTAGACAATGAAGAAGAAAAAGAAAAAGAAAAAAAAAAAAAGAAAGAGAAATTCAACTTACATTAACTTTATTACAGCATTAATTAATTTAACAAAGAAATGGGTGGTTTCCGTCAATGCCAAATATTATCAGAATGTTCCATTTTGTGAAGCACGCATGCCTTTTCACTTCTTCCTCTTCTTTTTTAGTCACCCTGGTTATATTTGATGATAATTTGGGAAACATGTGAATGTGAATGCGGGCGTACAGGGGATTCATTTTCTTTGGGTACATCTATTTTCGCCAACAATTCTGCGCGACCTAATAGGTGGGTGGACGCCTTTCCTCCATTTTAATGAAAAAGCGAACCGGACAAAATGAAATCGGAAAAAATGGATGTATAAAATTGTCGTGAACATACTGCATATGGCAAAGTTTCGGGGATATACAGTAAAATAAGAATGATGCTCTATGACAAACATGATTGCATTATTATTAGTAGTATTTTAGAAAGTTAATTTTTATGGATGCAAGAGAAATCAAGGGAATTAGACTTTACATTCTTACCAAAATCGTTGACATACAATAATTGATGTCTTATTGAGGCGAGTGCTTGATTGGGTGAGGGTAAATGACAAAATCTCGATTCTTCGCCGAAATCGGATATTTATGTTTAACGCAAATGAACATCTGGCTAGCGTGACTTTGGAGAACAAAGGATCGAGGAACAAGATGGGCAACAAACACGTGAACACTTAGAACCGGCAACAAATCGAGCGATAGAATCAGGGCAACGATGTTACGTGACTAGAAAGGGATTATGCTGATATATTGCAATTAATGAAGATTCCCTTTGAAACTGCCAAATAAGGATGCTCTTTATTCCTACGAATTAACCAAACAAAATCATAAATATTAATAGTATGGAAAGGTGACGCTCTCACAGTTACATTGTGGCCCAAGCGTGATATCTATTAAACAGACGATTCCTAAGAAAGTATGATGGTTGCGGCTATTTAAAAAAATAAAAATAAAGATAAAAATAAAATAAAATAAAAAAAAATTGACGGTCATTCACAATGTTAGGAAGATGATCGGAGTTTCTCGGTGCAACGATCTGCCATATGAATGTCCATCCCTCTCCCCGAGAGGTTATCCCTCGCCATTCTTCCTTCAATAACTCATGAATCAACAACGAAAAGACCAGATAAAACAATACTTTTTCGAGAAATTTTATTTTGCCGGCGAAAAGCATCTCGCGTGTGCACGTGATCGTTCTCGGCCAGAAATCGCTCAAGTCAGTATTAGAGATGCCGCGTCAAATTATCGTAAGGCTTTGGTGGTTTTGGGCGGGGAACGCGCGGATTTCGTAGCACGCCACGAAGCAGAACGTCTGAAAAATAAAGTGTGGGATAAATACGACCAGTGTTGGATTGGATCCAAAGATGACGGTATCAGCTTAACCGATATCATCGAGAGGGAGGTGGACAGAAGACTCTCCGAGGGAGCGCAGAAAAGGGGGGTGGAGGTCAAAAGCAACATCAAAGAATTTAAATCAGGATTAAACATGGGACATGTTAGCGACATGGTAATTATGGTAACCACGCGCTTTCTTTTTGGATAACGCAACATTAATGGCCATCTAATTTACCGTAATCGCTCGCAGAGATGTTGCGCGGACGAAGATTATGACATCGTGAAACCGCCCGATCTAAGTCTATTGACGAAATTTACCAAAGACCTGGTGACAAAAGGGGCAACCAACATGTCTTCCCCTCCGTCTGCCAAAAGTTTATTGAGATCGTCTCGGAAAAAAATCCCTCCGTGTTTTGTTGTTGGTGGAGATAGCTTCGAAGACGAAATGGACATTAACGACGATGTCTCCGATGTTCATTATGACGGGCCGTCTCGAATTTTTCAAAGAGTGAGTGCACGATTGCATTCGTCCGCAATTCTTGTAAAAAAAATCCATGCTATTGCTGCCGATTCACAACACGACCTAATAAATAGGAAACACGAAACGGCCTAATTATTAATGCAAGAAAAAATGATCGGGTTCCAATGGACGTGACTGATGTGGATGGCGAGGACGATAAACTGCCAACCCGACGCGGTTCCTTTGTCACCGCTAGGAGCAAATATGTACATTTTGATTGTTCGACTTTCCGACAATAATTCACTCGCCCATCTCTCTAACGCCAACAACAACAATTTCCTTTCGTTTCACCAAGGTCGTTGGGAGTCAGAAGCAAGGTTACCATTCGCCATCACCTAGCAAACGATGCCTAGATGATAAACCGTTTGCACCGGGGGTGCCCAAAAAGAAAATGACAGGAGCCTTGAGTCAGTCCATCAAAAAGGGAAAATTCGTTTCGCCGTTATTGAAACGTAAAGAAGAAAATTCCGGGGGTGGCACCAAATATCGTAGGAACGAATATTCGTATGTGCCTGAAATCCGAATTATTATTATTGTTGTTGTTATTTGTAATTAAATGAACCGTGACTCTGAAGGGATTGTTGTTGCTCTTGCCACCACCATAACTGCAGTTCTTCCATTTGCAAGAGAGGCGATGAGACGGAAGAAGAAATAGACGAAAGACTAAAGAATATCGATCCAAAGATGATTGAATTAATTCAAAATGAGGTGGAATAAAAATCCTCGTGCATGCGAATGCGTAAATAAGACCATTTCACTTCAATTCCATGGCATTACAGATAATGGATAGAACTCTGGATATTACGTGGGAGGACATAGCCGGACTCGAACACGCGAAGAAAACCATTCAGGAGGCAGTCACTTGGCCGATGTTGAGACCGTTAGTAACTTTTTAACTGTTTCATCGCGTGAGCCAAAAATTCTAATGTCCTCAACCGATAGTGACATCTTTAAAGGTCTGAGGGGACCTCCCAAAGGTTTGTAAAATTTCACCGACCACCCGTCGCAAATGTCATTTTCATTTTTTCCTTCGACCTTTTGTCGCCAGGATTGTTGCTTTTCGGACCGCCCGGAACAGGCAAGACGTTGATTGGGAAGTGTATTGCCAGGTGAAAGATGATAATTCGTTTTGAAAATTCTACTTCAAGTGTTCTCACTGACCTCCCTTTACTTCAAGCCAATCGGGAGCGACCTTCTTCAGTATTAGGTGGGTTTGGTTCTCAGAACGAAAATATGAATCAATTTGAACTAATCGTGGCAAACAAACTGTACATTAGCTCCTCATCCTTAACCTCCAAATGGGTTGGCGATGGCGAAAAAATGGTAATCCAATTTTCTCCCTGATTATCACTGAGTTTTGATAATATCTTTATGATTTTCGATGTCAGGTTCGAGCCTTATTTGCCGTAGCAAGAGTTAATCAACCCGCGGTGGTCTTCGTAGACGAGGTAATCAAATCTCATATCTCAAGGGATGGGGCGTAAAGACGATGCGATAATTTTTTATACGCGAAAAATAGGTCGATTCTCTATTGACACAGAGGACGGATGGTGAATTTGAAGCTTCGAGACGTATTAAGACCGAATTCCTGGTTCAATTTGTGAGTCTCACCATCTCTAATTTGAACCGAAAGAAAATCAATTGTCTTGCTAATTTAGCCTTCAATAAAACTTTTAGGATGGTGTGAAAACCGCCGGTCTAGAAGAGGATCGAATATTAATTGTGGGTGCCACAAACAGGTTGGTGAACACTCGTTGATGAGTAAAAAAAAAAAAAAAATAAAGTTCGTTTCATCGATATCATATTGTTCTCCGCATGAATGTGAACCAATTTAAGGCCACAAGAAATTGATGAGGCTGCACGTGAGTTAAATTTCTCGCATCAGCGTGTCAAAATCGTTATCACTCAACGCCCTGTTTTTAAGGTCGCCGGTTCCGCAAGAGACTCTACATCCCTCTGCCAGAGGATAACGGAAGATATGAGATCATCAAGAACTTGCTGAAGGCGCAAAAACATTCATTGACTGATGAAGAGATTCGCGGTGTTTGCAAGAAAACGGCAGGTGCGTAATTGAAATAGCAAAAAAGCATGCCACTTCTTTGTCACCTACGATCCGTTCTATATATGATAAGGTTACTCTGGTTCCGACATGGATGGACTTTGTCGAGGTAAATGACGCATAAATCAGAAACAAAAATAAACTACTACTACGACCACCACTACTTTTAGTTTATTAATTTCTGATTCACGCAACTTCAATAGAGGCCGCATTGGGGCCAATACGCGTTATCGGGGACATAAGAAATATTGCAGGTTTGTAATGATGCCTTTGAACTTGATCCCTTCATGACAATCACCTTTTTTTTTTTTATTTTATTTAAATGAATAGCGGATGACGTAAGGCCAATTAACTATCAAGACTTCTTGGACGCACTAACTCAAGGTTATACGAGCGTAATTGTTACATAATTCTGACCGCCATCATCACCACTAACCAACTAGGCTCCTTGATTCTTATAGTTCGTGCGAGCGTAAGCGATCGTGACCTGGAATTATATCAAAAATGGAACCAAGAATATGGAAGCTTGTCGTAGGTTGTTATATGAGATCTGAATAGTTCGTATGCACTATAAAATATCGAAACATGAATGAAACAGTGTTGCACAATTGGAAATTTTGTCCCTATAAATGTAGCAGATAATTCTCGATAATCGATATACTGTACATTCGTGAATGAGAAAACGAAAAAAAAATATATGATCATTATGGAAAATAAATTTCAAAATAACAGTTCAAGCATCACCAAACTTCTCGATTTTCTTCATATATGTGAAAAATTGAAGGTACTTACTTTCGCATACGTGCGTACATAAAAAAAAAATTTTTTTTTTTTAATTAAGATCTTCGCTTTCGCCGTTGATATATCAAATCAGACCACGAAACGCACAGGATGGATCTGTAATGGCATAAAAAATCCAGAATCAATATCCGATCACATGCATCGTATGTCCATACTATCGCTACTGGTCAAAGACCCGACATTGGATAGGGATAGGCATGTATTTGGGTTTTTCGTTGCGGCACACAGCTTATAGATTTTGCTAAGCGGCGAATGTTCTCTAGATGCGTTAAAATGGCGATTGTGCACGATTTGGCTGAAAGTTTGGTCGTATGCATTCTATTATTCATTCATATACGCAACTTTCCGATCCCATTTCTAGTCTTTAATACCTTCAACTTATTCAGGGAGATATAACACCATTCGAAGGAATCAGTAAGGAAGAAAAGCATCGTAGAGAATCGGTATTGAAATTTTACGCCTCGAGATCATCCAATTACTCGATTTTTGTTTAATTCGAAAAAAACCAATGGAAAATTCGATAACAGGAAGCAATGCGACACTTGTGCTCCCATTTACTCGAAAACTCTCCACAATCCAAAGAAATATTTGCACTTTGGCAAGAGTATGAGGATGCCACAACAAATGAAGCAAAGTTCGTCAAAGACATAGACAAATTTGAAATGATTCTCCAGGCTTATGAGTACGAACAATGTAAGCACACTATTGCTGCGTGAATTGATGATTCTTTTAATCCGTTTACATTTTTAACAAGGAATGAACCCATTAGCCGAAGATAAGGATCTCGAGAAATTCTTCGAGAACACGATGGGAAAATTCAATCATCCAGAAGTAAAATGCTGGGCTGACGAATTATGCGCAAAACGTGAGGCTTCTAAACAAAAGATTATCAAATGAACACTAGAGAAAAGAGAAATAAGTTTGATTAGCACTTGATTGTTTCTACCGGATACATTTTTTGTAAACCATGTGCTTACCGAATAAAAGAATAAATGACGGCAAGAATAAAGATTCTTTCAGTTAACAATAACACCGATGTATCTACATAAAAAAACGCCATGCAGGCATCGCTCGTGCTAAAAGAACATTTCTTCGTTCAAGGGTTTTCCTGTTTTTTCCTTACGCTCTTTTTAGCCTGTGCGATCAACTCTTCAAATTGATTATGATACCTCTGTTGTGAAGATTATAAAGAACAAGTTCCGGTTATGGTGTAATAAGAATTTTCAAAGATAACAAAAGGAAACATTCAACATTGAATAAATAAAAGGATATCATAAAATTTTATTTCTTCTTCCGTATTTAGAGTCTTTTTAACATCATTAGCAGTCCTCGCGGCACCGCTTTGTTGTGCCCTCTCCCAATTTTTGACCTCCCTTATCAACTCTTCCTTGGTCTTAGGTTTGGTGGCGTCAGCATTTGAGTTCCATAAGTGGATAAAATATGCATGCCGTTTTTGCCAGTCGCTCCTGTTGCCACTCAAAGGCAATCCTTCGTCCTATTGTAATTTGTAATTTCACTTTTGAGATTTTTGATTTTCTTGCGATGACGTGAGAATAACCATTAAACATTAAACTGTTTGTTGCTATACCTTTAGCATATCTTTCAATTTCTTATCTTTGATCAAAGAATACACGGGCTTTGGTTTGTTACTACTATTTCAATGTTCATATCATAAATAATTGCGGCAAATGCTACCAGGTGAATTTACGAAAACTTTTCTACCTAAAAATTAGAATGATCACTTACATACTGTCCTTATTCCTACGAATTGCCATTTCATCATTTTCGCCTTTTATTCGTTTGGCCGGAACATCCGCCTCGTCATTTGACATACTCCTCTTCAGATCAATAGAATTCTCTCTTTTCATGGAATACAAAGGTGATAAGGGTTTTGATAAGTTTTCTGAGACGTCGGATTCTTGATTTGTAGGTTGTGATGATAATGCGTCTATCTGTGAATCGACTCTTGTGACGAGCGGTGCCACGGACTTCGATTCTTCTCCTTCGCGTGCTTTATTTTCGACTTGAAGACCTAACGTGTATAGTTGAATCATCGACAATCTACAAAACAAATGCAATTATATTATTCACAGTCGCGAATTACAAATCACGCGATTTTTCGCGTAATCCATGTCAGATTACTAAAACCGACTCCGGGATCTATCCCCTTTACCTCATTTCTCTATATTCCCTCACGAAATCCTCAATAATGCTATTTTTACACAACTGCGAAAAAGACGTGAACTCATGACCACAAACCGGGCACTCTAGTGCTGTGATCTTATTTCCAAAATTGCTTTTTATGCATCCAGCACAAAAAGTATGTTGACATTTGGATGACATTGGTAAGTCATAATAATCTTTGCATACTGGACAGTGGAGAAATTGTTCCAAGGTTGCTAGCGACGAGTGAAGAGAGATGGGAGTTTGAACTGTGGAGTTGGTAGAATTCTCTGAAGCGACCGGTGAGGTTGCGGCGGAACTGCGAATGGATGAGGTTAGCATCTTTA